AAATATAAAAAAATTCTTAGATCCACGCCTTGGTTGATGGATTACGTGTGACAGAAGGTGTAAGGTCACGTGGTCAGCTCAGCGATTCATTCAGTTGTATTGTGATAACCCGCCTGATGACCACGCTAAAATTAGAGGCACGTCTATTTTGAAGATTTGTTACAACGTCTGTGATTGTTTCACTTAGCTGAACGTGCCCTGGCTTTCCGTCGAGATGAAATTCCAAAGAATTGAAAGGAACAAAGTATTGTTCGTGTTGTAAAGTGCCATTTACAAGAACGGGTGGATTTTCTGGTTTATTGTTTACTGATGCGGTGGTACATAATATGTGCGCGGGTTATCAAATATATTACCTGATTACTGTATGATACATTCTGTGTATTTTTCTGCCGATATGAACTTTATTTATAAGCAGATATTCATGAGAAGAACATATTTCATGGAGCTATTTTATTGCGACATCAAACGTGGAACTTTTTCCTATAGTCTGAATTTTGAAAGGATTTCAAAGTAAGCTATTTGTTACTGGTTGAACGAAACAAATAGATACCTTTAATGATTACTATCTCTATATCGATCTCCATGATCAGTGGACACAGAGTTTGATCAACAAAAGTTGTGATAGATAACGAACATCCTGCAAGTATGAGTATCTGCTGCAAGCATCGCTATTTCACAGCTGGGGCCACAGCGGGAGACCCTGAACCTCAACGACTTGGGCGTTTTAGGTCCAGCCGGCGTACACCTTTGCTGCTTCACCGCGTGCATAAGAGAAGTTTGCCTTCCCATGTAATTGAGGACGAAGGCCAGTATTATGTTTACTTTATAATTGATTTACAATTATACATAACGCGCTTGGGGTTTCCAAATATTTTTTTTTTGTGTATAAGTTATCACTTTCAATTATTCAAAGGCATTGTTTAATACTCAAATCATGTATATACTCAATGGTGTAAGCTTTTAAGTTAGCAACTTTATGCAAAGTTATTTAGTTTTATTGAACTACAATGAGAAAAGACAATTGTTTTAATGTCTTCAGCTGAGCCTGAAAAAGGTCGATAAAAACTGTTTTCCCAAAGGGATGGCACTTTGAAGTGAAAGTTACAGGTCTTTCGCATGATGCCTTAAAAAATAGAGGCCCTGTATCACCATAGGCGTTGGCATAATAACAACCCTCAGTGCTCAATAAGCCTGGGTACCAAGTAAAGGTCAAAACTTGAAGTCCTTGACATGTATATTTACTGACCTCTTAATAATTGTGCAAAATAATCTAACGGGACCAAAAAACAACATTCAATTGCTAAATTAGACTTACGGAAGTTACAGAATGTAACATGTGGAGATAACAAACAGTTTTCAAGAACAAAAGTCCATAAAACAATTCAAAAAAGGAGAGGGACAACCACGGACCTCCAAAAAAAAAAAAAATCAGGGTTGCGATGAGATGCTATTGAGAGTTATCAGCCCCTGCCAACGGTCTCACCCGACGTATGCTCCTTGTCATGATCGGGAGACTAAAAACGGAGGGAATAAAACTTGAGATCGTTCGCCGTCGACCGGTAGAAAAATCTTGTCTGCTGAAAATTAGCTTTACTTACGTTATACAAAATAAATGATAAAAAACACTGACTACATGCCCCTTATAACGTCTGTCTGTTTCTCTCCAAGCATCCCATAAGTTTATGCAACTTCATGCATTACTGAGGCATTTTCCAAGACGACTCTTGAAGCAGAGCACAATTAAGGAATCACTGTCTGGTAAGTTTAGTATTCTAAATTCTATTCAGAGAACTAAAAGCATTCATTGTGAAATAAAATTGTAGATATAGACTTTACAAATGTAGACAAAGATTTAAATTATAAAAAAAGACTCCCATGCCAATTTCAATAGTACTCGCCCACTGACGTCATACAAACAGAAAAACAGCCGCACGAGATTTACATGCATATTAGGCCCCCTTAGCTCCTGACCGATCGACTTGGTTAATTTACATCCCGATAGAATTATCAAGAAATCAACTCCGCTAACGTTCAAAGATTTATCACAGAGATGAAAATTAGAAATAAATATATTATCAAATAAAGACGAAGTAGGGACGGTTTCCAGGTACACTTTACTATTTTGTTGAAAAATTATGAATCCTGATGCAAACTACTTTATCCTGTATTTTGTATTTGTGGCTACAGTAACTCAATTGGATTTTAAACAATAACTATTCAGATATCGTCAGTATTCAGTTCTACATAGGAGAAATAAGTATCTACTGTCGACTGTCTCATATGCTTTTGGCACTCTGAGTAAATCAGGTTTATTTAATTAATGTTTGCATTGAAAATAGCTACTTTATTTAAGTTTTAATGAATAAAAGGAACAAGTATCACTTCGTAGTTTTAATTTCTTTTATTCAAAGTTTCAAAATAATTTGAAGTGAAATATATTTTGTATATATTAAGATAGATAGTTTAAGAAAGGCTGAATTTCGAACATCTTAGAAGTTTAACAATTTCATAACATTTTCATAATTTATTATTTGCATCATTTCCCGATCACATCAAATCATATATCCAGATCATGACAAGGAAGACACGGCTGGTGTAACATGTCGGCAAGTTATGCTCACTCCCCAATGGCACCTGCTCCGTCCTCTTTTGTTTTGAGGGTCCGTGTTTGCCCTGCTCCTATTTTGTATTTGATATGGACTTTTGATCTTGAATACTGTTCGTTATCTCCATATGTTTGATTGCAACAAAACAAGACGAAAAATACATACCAATTCAGGCATATATTTTTATATTGCCTGTTTTCAAGATGGGTCGTATTTTAACCAACATATTTAAAATGAATTTGTAGGCAATTGTGTCAAGAGCATAATTCCTTTGCCTGATAAATACCTAAGATTGACAAGTGGGCAGTATCCTGATAAATACAGATTAACAAGTGGACAGGTATCCTGATAGATGCAGAAGACTGACAAGTGGGCAGATATCCTGGTAGATACAGAAGACTGACAAGAGGGCAGGTATCCTGATAATTACAGAAGATTGACAGGTGGACAGGTACACTGTATCCTGATAAATACAGAAGATTGACAAGTGGGTTAATATCCTGAAAAATATAGAAGATTGACAGGTGGGCAGGTATCCTGATAAATACAGAAGATTGAAAAATGGACAGGTATCCTGATAATAACAGAAGATTGACGAGAGGGTGGGTATCCTATAAATACAGAAGATTGACAAGAGGGTGGGTATCCTGATAATAAAAAAAGATTGACAAGTGAACATGTATCCTGATAAATACAGAAGATTGAAAAGTGAGTTGGTATCCTGATAAAACATAAGATTGACAGGTGAGCAGGTATCATGATAGATACAGAAGATTGACAAAGGCCGGGGGGAGGGGTATCCTGATCAATACAGAAGACTGACAAGTGGACAGGTATCCTGATTATTACAGAAGATTGACAGGTGGGCAGATATCCTGATAAATAAAGAAAATTCTCAAATGGGGAGATATTCTGATAAATACAGAAGATTGACAAGTGGGCAGATATCCTGATAAATACAGAAGATTGACAAGTGGACAGGCATCCTGATAAATACAGAAGATTGACAAGTGGGCAAATATCCTGATAAAGTGGGTGATTGCTCCCTCTGAACTAACCTGAATAGTGCGGTAGGACTAATATATTTAAGAGCCATTCTCTGTAACCACTTAATCTTCGTTCCCACGCATGGTCATCGAGTTTGAGGAAACCACCAATTCTCAGTTCTTGACACAAAAAACAAATATAAAAAGATTCATTGCTATGTGTCTTGGTTGCCATGGTAACAGCCGGAAAAATTTGAAAAATTGGGATTCTCAGGTACTTCAATTTTTCACTGATCCTGAATAAAAACTAGGAAAAGCAAACGAACAATTCTCACAAAAACATAACACCTTGGTGCCACTTATACTGTATTGAAACTGTGTAGAATATATCTCTTAGTGGTTACCCAGGGTACATTTAATTTGGGATGCATTTAAGGAGGCTAGGTGGTCAACAATTAAACCACCAGATATAACTTAATTTTTAAGATATGATATTTTAAGTTGTCGTCTATCATTTGGCAAAGAAAAATTTCATAAAGTTTAGTTTTAAAACTTGATCATTTTTGTATATCCTTATATAGAGCTCTTCTTCTAAAGGATATCATAATAGTCTAAAAAAGCCACAACCACGCATACCTTTTAAAATGCTGAAATATGATGAAATATGCTGAAAAATGCTCAGTATTCACTAATGGTACATGTAGGTGTTACATGCTCAAACTCATTCAAAAACTCAAAACAAACGATATAAATGTTTGACCGTAAGTACATAGGTATAAGCAATATTATTCTATAAATAACTTTTAAGGTTGCCATGGAAACACAGTGTAACCAAGCAAAATCAGTGACCAGGATTGGGTTTATGCTACTGTCCTAAGGAAAACCATAAAAATTCAAGACAATTAGAACCACATCAATATCTTTAAAAACTTATCACCAGTTATGAAGGAAAATGTGCTTTTTTTTAAAATAGAGGATCAGATTTAAACTTAGAGAGTGTAAATTTGAAGGCTCTATATGGTATTTAAACCTTGGCAGTCATTGCCAACCAAAATGAAATATCATAATTTGTTCTTGATTTATGTTTCATGGCTCTTTATTCTATTATTTGGTCACCTTTAATCTTATTATTGTTTTTTTTTAAACATGTCAAAATTAAAGTTTGCTTTCCCGCAAATGTTAACTTTGGGTCTCTAAACATGTTAAAAATGCCCTTTTTCTAACTTTAAGACATGTTGCCATGGTAACTATAATACATAACAACCCTATTTTACGTAAAGGTATCAAAGACTTTTATCATAGAAAGTTAAGAGAAATTCTGAGACTATGCGTGCCACAGATGTTATATCAAATTTCAAGTCATTACAGAAATTTAAAGTATGTATCAAATTTATAAAATGTATTTAAGGATATGTGAACCTGACGTTTTTGAATCCACCGCGCAACTCGAACTGCGGAAGATGGGAACGGTCAATGTCGTGATCATAGAACATATAATTTTGCTAAAACACAAGTTTAAAGGATTTAACAGCGATTACATAGTAAAATAAAGCCAAATTAAATCAACATTGCATGATTTTTATTAATTTTGGCTGTTTGCCTGTTCCAAGCCCGATAATTTACGACATTACACCCTAGCCGTTTTGCGACGCCATGTTTTGTAGAGAAGGACGCAACGATACATTTGCAAGGAAAAAAGCAGTTTATACGCCGAAAATAGATTATACGGTTATATGTAGACGAAAATATACAGATTGGTGCCGTTCGGATTCATGTAACAACTGTACAAACGATGTCACCCCGAATGCAGTTCCACGATGTACATGTACTTCATTGTTTTTCACGTAAGTAAAAGTAGGTCTTAACTAACAGCAGAATGAACATACACCAAACAGATGGATAACCGGAGTCTACCTGACACCTTATACATTTATTTATTATTAGGTTGTAATTTATAGCATCATCGAAATTCAATGTATTCTCTGTCTCCAGTCGGGATCAACAATGATTCGAATATTACAGAAAACGTGGAAAATTTGCACAATTTTCACAGATAGATCCAATAAAAATACACGGTTTTAAAATAGTCTGAAATAATTTGTATAAGTTATTTATTGGATTTACTTTTTGTTTACCAGTGTCAAATTACCAAATTAGGCAAATACTGAAATAGTGTAGCGTTTCCGAGTAAATCCTTTTTCACATTCATATTTTTGGTAGCTCCTGATAATATTTCCTCTTTGTAATAAAACACAAAATAGTAGTAAAACATTTATTAAATCCAAATGAAAGTAAAATATAATCCAATCAATGTTATAAAGTATAAATCCAAAAGAATTGAATGAAAGGCACTTAGAATAATTATTCCAAAATAACTCAAGTTAAATTCCCATTAAAATCCTCTTCCAAATTACTCTCAATAAAATCTCTAATAAAAAATCTCTCTCATCATCCTAAAAATTACCCCGCTTATATAGTTTATGACTCCTCTCATTGCTCCTCTTAATCACCCTGAACTAAACTAAGGTCAAGCTATCAGATCTAAATGCTATAAATCACTACTATTGTATAAAGCCTCCTCCTAGCCTAATTAACAGCTCCCCATGACCTGTTCGCAGTCTGGGTTAAGACATTGATAAACAATCTAGTCTACGAATGAAAGTAAAATAATAAAAACATACTAATATACTAATTAAGAAAAGTAAATGTAAGAAAATAATAAAAAAAAAAAAAAATTATGCTACATTTCCCCCTGCTTAGCTTTGTACCCCGTACAAAATAATGATTAAAAAAAATGAAAGCCTTTCAAACAAAAAAAATAAGACAATGTAAATAATAAAAGCAAATGATAAAACAAAATCAATGATGTACATCATCATATATGCAATGATAGCAGTTTTAAACAAAAATGCTAATAAATGATGAATTAAAAGAAACAACATTAAAATGTCATCTATTTACAAGTTTATACACTGTCACAGTTCATTCCTTGCTCTCATTTGAATTGTCCATGAAATCGTCCATGAAATTGTTTATCAAGTCCATCACTGGTACCTCTTTTATTTCTTCAGAATAGGAGAAGTTTATTTCTTTTATGGTTTCTGAATGTCCATCACGGTTTTTAATTCTTCTATGAATTAGCTGGATTGTGATTGATTTCTTCTCCTCAGAAACATTGTCTTTTTCTTCCTCATTAGTGTCCTCGGCACTCAAGTTCTCTTCTGTTTTGTTATAATCCTCGGAATTTTGTGTTGGCTCGAAATCTTCTTCATCAGATGAAATGTCCTCATACAAATCGCTTTTCACAGTATAATCCATATTCTGGTCACAAGAAACGTTTGGAATTTCTTCTGGTGAAAGGTCATCTAAAACTTCCATTAAACTGTGTTGAGAAAAATAATGTCTTTTAAAGTTAAAATTCCTTGTAAATATCCTTTGACAAATGTCACATTGATAAACTTTCTTCCTGGAATAATGGTGTTCTTCTAAATGTCTCTGTAAATTCCTTTTATGTTTGTAGGTAATATTGCAGTCAAAACATTGGAACATTTTCACTTAGAAGCAAGTTTTTAAGTGTTTATTTCCTAAATCTTGTTGGAGTTTTTATAAGCCTGCCTAGTCTTGTTTTCTTGGGTTCCATCTGGATTGGGGTTGACAAGTGTCCATTATTCTCCTCCCTACTCCTCTCTAACGGTTTATCATGGGTCTTGTCTTTAACTGGCAAGGTGTTTTCGACTTCACAATTTCCAGTGTTGTTAAATTGATCTTCAATGTTCTCTTCAGGGACCTCATCACTTGGACATAAATTTGGTATGATGACATTTGGTTCACTGTCTGTAGCTTTCTGAATAATGCGTTGCAGTTTCCAAAAAGTTGTCTTGTTCACTTTTAATGGTTTAAGATTATCCGCATGAATTACAACAGGTTTTGAAGAAATAGAATGTTGAATTCGATATAACACATCACTGAATTTTTCAGTCACTACCCAAGGTCCACTCCAATTTCTTGCAAGTTTAAGTTTGGTTCCTAATATTTGTTGAGGTTGGAAACGACACACAGTATCACCAACAGAATATTGAATTTTTCTCACATTTTGATCATAATATTTCTTTTGAGTTTGGCTTCTTTTCTTGGTTTCTTCTCTAGCAATTTCATGACATTGATCTAATTTTTGTTTCAACTCACGAACATAATCATGATGATTGTATAAGTCACTAATGACACTGTTATTCTGATCAGAGAATAAATCAACCGGCATCACCATTTCTGTACCAAATATCATTCGATACGGACTTATTCCAGTTGTTTCATGCACAGTGCTGTTGTAGGCCATTGAAATTCCATCAATGAATTTATCCCAATCATTTTGATGTAAGGATATGTATTTCGATAGCATATCTTTAATGGTACGATTCAACCTCTCTACCATTCCATCTGATCTCGGGTGAAACGGAGTTGTACGGCTCTTATGAATTCCAAGTAAAAAACACAAGTTTTGAAAAAGTTGACTTTCGAATTGTCTGCCTTGATCTGTATGTAACGCATGAGGGCATCCATAACGTTTAATCCATCCTTTGAATATAACATTAGCGACAGTTTCAGCTTCCATATTTGGAATCGGGAATATTTCCACAAACTTGGTAAAGTAATCTGCTACCACAAGAATATAGACATTTCCACTGGCTGATCTAGGAAACGGTCCAGCAATATCTGCTGCAATTCTTTCCCAACGTCCTCCTGCGATGAACGATTCCATAACGCTTCGTTTTTGTCGCTGTGGATTCTTTCTTTCTTCACACAAATAACACGATTTTATATAATCGGTCACATATTCACGAATATTTGGCCAGTAATAAGAACTCTGATTTACTTTGCGAATATTCCTCTTAATTCCAAGATGTCCTGAAACTGGTGAATCATGGAGATACCACATCACAACATCACGCATTGATTTTGGGGTACATATACGCAATCTAACTTTTTCCAGTTCCATCCACTTAACACACAAAACATTCTGATGAACGTCTAGAATTTCCCATCTATTATACCAAAATTTACACTCTGGATCAAGTTCCGTGATTACACTTCTGGATGGTTTGTTTTCAGATCCAAATTTTTCAAATAATTGAAGAATTGGTCCAATCCCCTTGTCATTTTCTTGTTGATTACGAATTTCCTCATATGTAAGTTGTAGATTTGGTATTTCTCGTTGTTTAGCACGCTTTGGACGATTACGTTTTCTCCTTGTAGTTGGTACTGTTTCAGGCTCAGAATCACTTTTCTCTTCATCCTCACTTGTTACATTAAATAACTGGAAAATGTCACAAATTACATCATTTGCCCCCTCGATAGTCTCCTTTGAAATTTCACGCAGATCTTTCACACGTGTCACTAAATCACCATCATAGATACAATGTTTTTGTTTACACTGTTTACACACATTTTCATTACACCCCTCTTTTGGTAATCTTGAGAGTGCATCAGCATTTGCATGTTGTTTTCCCACCCGATGTATAATTGTAAAGTTATATGGTCCTAACTGTTGCAACCATCGGTAAATTTGTCCATCTGGCTCTTTGAATTTATGAAGCCAGGTTAAAGATCCATGATCTGTTCTCAAGATAAATTCTCTTCCTAGTAGATAATGTTTATAATATTTCACAAAGTAGATAACAGCTAACATTTCCTTTCGCGTTACACAATAGTTTTTCTCAGCTGAGCTCAGTGTTCTGCTTCCATATGCAATAACTTTTTCTCTCCCATCCTTGATTTGAGAAAGAACACACCCAATGGCTTCATTATTTGCATCCGTGTCTAACATAAAACTTCCACCATTGACATCTGGATATCCTAATATTGGCGCACTTTGTAATTTCTTCTTCAGTTCAATAAAAGCTCGGTCACACTCTTCTGTCCATATCCATTTGCTATTTTTGCTAGTCAAAGAATGCAAACACTTTGCAATATTAGCAAAATCTCTAATATACTTCCGATAGTAAGATACTAATCCTAGAAAACTCCTTAATTCTGTGACATTCTTTGGTGTTGAAATATTTTCTATTGCTTCAGTTTTAGCAGGGTCTGTCTTGATTCCACTTTTAGAAACAACATATCCAAGAAATGACACCTCTTTCTTGAAAAATGAACATTTCTTTGCTTTCAACCTCAAATTAGCATCTTCCAGTCTATCCAATACTTGCTTTAAATTCTCCAAATGCTCATCAAAACTTTTTCCATAGACAATGATGTCATCCAAATAAAGTACAGCTACATTCCACTGTAGACCACTTAATACTCTTTCAATTATTCTCTGAAAAGTCGCTGGAGCATTACATAATCCAAAAGGCATAACATTGTACTGATATAACCCCCCTCTTGGTGTAGCAAATGCTGTTTTCTCCTTGTCCTGATCTGACATCGGCACTTGGTGATAAGCCATATTCAAATCCAAAGACGAAAACCAAACAGATCCAGCCAATGCATCCAAATTATCATCTATCCTAGGTATCGGATATGCGTCCTTTATCGTCTTCGCATTCAAACGACGATAATCCACACAAACTCGCCAACTTTTATCCTTCTTCTGAACAAGAACAAGTTGCGACGACCATGGACTGCTGGATTTCTCAATAATTCCCTGATCAAGTAGTTTCCCTATTTCTTGATCTAGAATTTCCCTTTTAAACAATGGAACCCGCCGTGGCGCCTCCTTAAACGGCGTTCCGTCACTCAAATTTATCCTATGCTCACCAATGTTGGTTCTATGTAAAACTCCGTTCGGGTCAGCGAACACATTTCTCCTTTCCATGAGAAATTCCTTGAACTTTTCAGACTCTCGAGAATT